ATTGTTTCTTATTTCAATGGTAAACTTTAAATTTATGATTAAATACAACAAAATACATTTAAAAGGTGAAAGATATTAACAATGGTCCTGCCCCTGAGCTGCTGGCTTCAAGTAAATGAGCCATTTAGTTGGACAGCACAGTATTAATGTCTGAAAATAAGCTGCTTTAAAGTTGGCATCAAACATGAACTAAATAAACTAAATCCGYCATAATGCTACTCACTAGAAACTCATCAGTGAGTAAAACTTTATTAGTTTTACTTTTCATTATATTTCTGTATTTATTTCAGATGTAGTCAGTCATAAACTTAGTTCTAATCAGTGTTTAAAAGAGGACGTGTTAAAACACTGTTTAGTCAAAGTTAAACATGAAACATCAAAGTTAACAACAACTGGCCCTTTGAGGGCCACCATAACGCTCATGTGGCCCTCGGTGAAAATGAGTTTGGCACCCCTGCTAAAAGGTGAGAACTATTCAAAGAAACAACAACAGAACATCACTGAGATCCACTGTCTTATGTTCATTTGATTATACAGTAGGTGCAGCACAGACAAAATCATGTTTTATTATATTTGTTTGAAACTGGTGGATGGTCCAGTTTGAGTGACTGTGTGTGTTCTGTGTACCTGACATAAGCCTTAAAAAAAGGCAGCTCTTTTCAGGGAGTAGACCGCTTCTCTCTTATGTAACAAAGTTGGTTTTAATCACCAACCTGTTGCCCCGCAGCTGCAGGTGTGTGTGTGCTCCGGTGGTGGTTCCAAACGTGCGGCAACACGTCCTTTTCAAAGCGCAGATGAAAGACGCACTTCCTCCCAAAACGCTGCCGTGCCGACATGTTGGTGCGACTCTCCACCTTTGTGTCTTTTCACCAGGCTAACGGTGGAACTGAAGGAGAAAGATCAGAAGTGGTTGTTATGTCAACAAAGGTGTGATGCCGTACAGAAGCRGCTGTCGTCATGGGAGGGCAATCGGGAACAACTGAACCAGAAGTACCGCGCAGCTGTAGAGGAAGTGACGCACGTCAGGAAAACCCTGGAGGAAGTCCAGCAGGACGAGAGAGAGCTGATGAGAGAAAGGTCTTGATTGTCAATAACTCTTTTCTATTCTGTTCTATCCTTTTCTCCTCCCCTCATTAGTTATAGAACTGCTCATATTGTAAATCGATTCACTGTCTTTATATATTATTTATTTAACCATTTAAAAACAAATTTGTTGAGGAAAGACTTTTATCTCTTTCCAGACCAAATCTTTGTTCCTATACTTTTCTCACGTCTGTTAGGTTACATAATGAAGCTTATTAAAAGTTTTGTAAATTGCACTTGAGCAAGACTCGTAATCCCTAACTTCTTCTAGGGCACTTAAGTCGCTACGCACTGCTCCACTGGGTGCATCTCATGTGTGATGGGTCAAATGCAGAGCACACATTGTGTCATTGTAGGGGAATGTTCACTGATGACAATACAAAGCACATTATTATTATTATTATTATTATTATTATTATTATTATTATTATTATTATCATCATAAAGTTATTAGCATATAGAGCAAAGTGAGGTCTGATTTCTCCACTCATATTATCGTATTTAAAGATAATAAGTTGAAATCAGCTCAGCCAGAACATGTTAGTGCCAGGTCTGAATGGGGCCTGAGAGTCAGCTTCATCTCACTTCTGTTTTTCCCCAACCCTACCTCCCAACTGGGACATGGGTTCTCGTCATCTAATTTTAAATACTCACAACTCTTTTTACCCCTGACTGGATACAGTTGTGAAACAACAATAATCAAAAAGCCTATCCTTTCTTTTTGTGCAGCATGCGTGTAGATCTCAGTGTTCAGAGTCAGGTGTTAATGCGTCATGTGGGCACACACTGTTCAAATAGCCTTGCGTGTAGAGCTGCTTGTCTGTGTCAATACTTTATCTTTTGTTTTTGTTTTGTTTTTGCATTTTTTTATCACAGTGACTAACTGTTCCTTATTTCTCGGGTTGCAAATAGCATTGAACTAAACTCAAACCTTTGATTTATCACATACAGTACATGGGACTATGAGTGACTCAATTTTATTTTATTTTATTTTTATTTTATTAAGAAAGTTGGATGTATCTATTATTGTGAACATTTTTCGCAGCAAATGAAAGCAGTTATCGGATACATTTCTGTAAACAATTCAGGGACACGTTCACAATCGTTTTTTTTCACTCCACTCCCCAGCTTTACCGTGAGAGTCACAACAAGAGCATTTTCTCAGGCAGGTTGTCCGATCATCATGCAGCTCACAAAGAGATAAAAGCTGCTCACATTTGTGTACTGGTTGGAGTAACCTGTTTAATCTGGCGTACATGTCTTTGGACTGTGGGACCAAACCAAAGAGGCACAGAAGACTCAAATCCACATGGTGGGGAACACTCCACCAGCTCTGAACACCATGACATATTACAGAGGTTATTATTATTATTCCAAATGATTTTGTTTGTGTGTGTGTTTGCTGTGTTAGCAAAAGATCTCATCAGTCACTGGGCAGATTTTAATGAAATGGGCAGAAAGTCACAGGATGTACAGGATGTGAAAAGAATTGACCAAGTAATTGACCAACACTCTGCTGAAACTATTAAATTGTTTATATAACTTGATTTTTTTAAAATCTTACATTTAAAGCCTTATTTATTTAAAAAAGGCCATTGTTCAATTATCAAGCACTTCATTTTGCCATACAGGCTAATTTTCATTAGCACTATCAGGCAAGTTGATGTTACAAAAATGAAAAAATAAATGCATATTATTAATAAATATTATTTTGGAAAGAAATTCACAAAAAACAATCTTRGACAAAATACAAAAATACACTATTCTTCTGTTTTATAACTTTAAAGTGCCTGTGACACGCATATTCCACAAAAAAACAAAGAAAATATCTTTATATTTAAGAAAGTTGGAATAATATACATGATTGAACTCATTTTGTCCCATAACTGGCATATTTGTGTGAATGCCTGTATAGCATTCACACAATTGAGATCCTTTTTTCTTCCGTACGTTTTCCGTACRTTTTTCGGCATCTTTCTCATTCCACAATTTTTGTGCTACTTCAACCATTCATATATCAAAACGTTCAGCTCTTTCATGCAATGCCTGCTATGACTTTTGGTATTTCAGCTGTTTATAGCTTTTTAGCTATTTCAACTTTTTTAGCCACTTTCTCCCCATTGACTTTGACTGGGGCTATTTTCAACAACCTTCAAATCCWTCAAATAGTTTCTAAATCTTTACAAAACCTTACACAATTTATTCTGGTTGTGCTCTTTTTTACTCCCTTGTGCAATTTTTAGAAACTTTTTTTACTAACTTAGGTTGTTTTCTGCTATTTCAGCTATARTTCTGCTTCTTTGTGCTATTCTTCTGATTTATTTGTGCTTTTTTTCTGCTAATTTGAACTATTTATGTTTCTTACAGTTGCTTTCTACTTTATTCCGATAGTTTCTACAAATTGAGCTACATTTTAGCTGTTAATAGCTAAAATTAGCTTTTTAGGCTATATAAATATTTTGTTTGTAGCAATTACAACTTAATTCTGCTAAATTCACCAAGGTAGTACTCGCTATGCAATCTTATGCTAAATAAAATGTTTCCAGCTTCTGGCTTCTACTTTTGGTTAGCTTTTATGCTAATTTTAGTTTTTTTCTGCTATTTTATCTGTAGTTCTATTTTCTACTATTCCTATGCTATTTTTTTGCTTTTTGGTGTTTTTTTTTTCTGGTACTTTGTGTTATGCATGTTTCTTACAGGTGCTTTCTGCTTAATTAAGCTATTTTAGCATTTAGCATTTTTATGCTATTTTAACTATATTTTTGCTCCCTTTTTACTGTTTTTCTGTTTTAACTTTTGCTTCTTTCAGCTTTTAAAGTTTGACTTAGAATAATACTTTTGCTATTAAACATTCTCGCTCAATTTCAGCAACTTTCAGCAACAGGCATTCACACTAGCATTTTTGCAGGAAATGCAATTTCTCTAGTTTCTTTTGAACTTGGCTCAGCCAAAGTGAATCAGGAAGTGACATCAAAGGGGAACTCTTTAACAAAYAAAACTCTCTAGTCTTTTTTTATTGAAACAATATTATTTGAACTCTGAGCCTTCTTTATCTCTCTGATAGTGACTCAAAATAATCTTAAGAAACATCAGATTCTGTTGTAGCAATGCTCTGTTCACATGCAGACATTCCCCTTTGACATCACTTCCTGTTACTTCACAGGCGAATATCTCAACAACAGTTCAACTCAGCGACATGAAATTTCTTTTGCAATATTTTATCAATGTCCTCTTTCTAAAATGCATTCATATGTATTACAAAATTTTTTGACGTCACAGGCACTGAAGGGTGGGGTTTTGTGACTCAGTGTTTCAGGTATAGAGGAGAAAGCTGCAAAGGCACTTTCATTGAAGGACATTAAAAGAAAATTCAAGGTAAAGGTGTAACCAATGAACGCTGTTTGAAAATATTTTCTTTACACGGTCCCAGGAATCATAAACCACCAGAGTTCCAGGTAGAGTCGCGACAAAGGTCATAACAGAACTTTCCCAACGTTTTCAGCATCTCTGTAGCAACTAAAGAACAAGTCAGCAAGGACCTCCGAATGAAACATAACTCTCAGAGCGCTGCAGCTGAGAGCCAAAATAAAAACAAACTCTGAATCTTTATTTTTACTACGAGACAAAAATAATCACGTTTCATCCATATGTAGTTTGTGAGTCTTTACAGTACTGAACTGCTGCACAATTAGAGCAATTGTCTCACTGTGACGGAAATAAAACGAGATGAATCACTGACAGGAAAAACAGAACCAGTTTAAAAGAAAATGATACTGTGTTTCCTGGAGTTCATGTTTACTCAGCAGCTATCTCTCCAAGGAAATTAGAGAGCGCTGTGTTTAATTTACACAAATAGGACAGTGATGCAAACTTACATTGGAGCTGACATCACAGGAAAACCAGAACTTCTCACACAGTTTGGGTTTTATTTTTAGCATCTGTGTGTCTCTCACTTATTGTCTTTTTGCTGTCAGCTCTTTAAGATTTGTTAGTGAAGTAGTCTACTCAGCTTCTGCATAGATTAAGGACATCATTTTAAATGATAAACTAACAGAACAGCTTCAGTTGAAAACAGATGCTGTCATTTTCCAGCTGCTGATTGACTTTTATTACAAAATGATGATAGAAATGCTCTTTTTTTATATTCACATTTATTAACAGACATGGCGTTTGTAGCCTGAGCGAAGTGCATTAAACATTACATTTGGCTGTATGTTCCACAGCACAGAGTGTTCCCAGCACACTGTGGAACAT